AAAACTTGCTCAAAATCCCCGAAAAATCAGTTTTGTAACCAAAAGCAATACAGATTCTGGAAGTAGACACTTCAGGCTATCTTTCCATGTGTGTATCTCAAAACCGATTTTTTGACCGAAAATCACCGTTTCTGAGGGGGGGCCCTTAATTGACGATTTTTTTGCTGAGCAAGCGATATGGGTACAAATCCTCTTCTGAACATTTTTTCATTTTTCTTTTGAGTGTGTGTTCATGTGTTCCATGCAGTAAAACTGTTGGTTAGTCAAAGTCCATACCGGTGAAATTTTGGACTGAGCAGTACCTGTCTGCTTGCCAGGACTCTTAGATGCAGTCCGAAAGATATTTAGACTAAGTCGAAGTAAAAAAAATTCTGAAGTTTTTCGATAAATCATGTTGTCCTTATATACATATAGTGACCACAAAACAAAACTGATTGAAAAAGAAACTGTTAACTGCCGATTTTCCGAAATAACGCGATCAATTGGCAGTTAATTTCAATTTCAAACAAAAATACCGACGGTTAATCACGGTTAATTGAGGGTTTATATCAAACCGTGGGTATTTGAAGAACTCCAGTTAACCGACGACGACGGGGGTGAGAAATATTTGTTCGAGTGACGTAAGAATTAACTCAATAGCATGCGTCATTCGAGACAGCTCCCATAACTCCGAAGCCTGGATTTCCAAAATGCCTAACTTGCGGTAAGGCTAAAAGAAAACCTGCACGGGAGATTTTTTCTCATTTTCTCCACAATAGAGATATTCACCAAGGCCTACAAAATCCCATATAAAGCTTCCATTTTTTGAATTGAAGAATTGAATCAAAGAGAGTTATGCTATCGAGTTCATTCTTACACCATTCGAACAAATATTTCTCAGCTTCGACTTGATACAAGATATATTTGAACATATTTTGATGACAGTAGAGTTATAATAAAAACGATTGTTATTGTCTTCTAGGACACTTTGCAGCCGGCGCCTGTCAGCGTGTTCATGTTAGGAGAAGTCATTTATACTGGTAATGATACAAATCGCATTTGTCTTCAATTAGAACTGCAGAGAACTCATGCAAAATGTTTGATTATATGTTTTTTATCCGTATTAGGAACGAAAGAAAATTAGCAGGATGGTAAATAAAAGAAGACATTTTTTATTTAATACCGCTAAGTGCAGACTTTGCTTTAAAAGGTAACAAATGCGCCCTATTTTTTGAATCGTTCCGCGCTTTTACGTGATCAAAAATGAAAGTCACGTAAAAAGGTTACGCGTGAAAAGGCGGTTCAAGATTCCAAAACGCGAAACCGACGTTTCTCACGAATCTCGAGTTGCTACCCCTAACAGTTCCCCCGAAACGCAAACAACCGTAAAACGTTTTGGTCGAAAACGCCATGCTTTTGCTATTGAAAACAGAAAGGCGGTGTCACGTGAACAAGAAGTCGACTCGCGTGAAAATTTTCGAGAAAAACTGGCGTGCTTTGCGTTTTTGAATGTCAAAACGCGCTTTTTTCAAAAGAATCTAAGAAAAACGCGTTTTTTCTGACTTTGGAAGTTGAATAATGAGTTTTTCAAGAAAATCTTTTTCTGCGAACCGCTCTGATTCAGAAACGAAAGGTGATAGGAAGCTAATTCTTTCGAATTCGCAAAGAGGAAGGCTCGATGCACTGAGACTTCACGGAGAAAAAAACACAGTTCGCTGGTTGTCACAAACTTTTCTAGTTTATTATTCATTGGAATGTAAACCTAATAAGTTATGTCACACTTCGTTTCAACATAGGTCTTCAGAAAAATTCATGCAATTTTCGAATCTGAGAAAACCACAAATCTCCGGCGTTTTTCATTAAAGAGCTAATTAAAAAAGCACCCGAGGACTTTCTTTGTTGGCACACATACTGGCTGAGAAATATATAGCGCACACGACGGTTTTTTAGATTATTTATTTGATTATTTAGATTATTTGTTGCTGAATTTTTTCAGTTCATTTTTACGCTTTATCAATAAAGCTATATTTTAGACATTATTAAAAGACGGACTTAGTTTTTTCGAGATCGCTTCTCCAGCCATTGTCAGAGTCCTGCTCAGATTGAGTTACGTTACCATAGAATTTTAGATTTTCTGTTGTCGCTAATTGAGTTGGGAGCGTACAACTAAAATCAGGCTCAAATATTAATTCGCCGTCTTTTGCATCAGGAGCACATTTCGTTTTGTGTTTCCATTGTACCTACGCACACACATAACGGTGAAAATTTTAGAACAAGTAACTTAGGTGCGTGTTTTAACAAACACTTACGTTTGCTTCAGCGTAAACCGGTTCAGTCATTGGAATGCGATTATTCATATGTTTTATTAGTAATTCATCTATTGTATAGTCTCCTGGTGGAAATTCAGCTTGAAGACTACCCGCAGTCATTACCAAGTTATCATTGAGACCAAGCCGTTGATAATTTACAAATCCGGCCCAATTCTGTTCAGGAACTCCTCTATGTATAGAATTCTCTTGTCCAGTTGGGGTGGTAGCAGTGACCGGTACAACATTTTCACTAACCCTAAAACTAACAACAGAGTTTAGGAACGATATATTTTCTTTTATTCTCATTAAATGAGAAAAAACAAAGATGAAAGAAACAGTAATCGAAAGGAAATTTACGGCTCGATTTCTTACAAAATCAGGTTCTCCTGCACGTGTCATGACAACGAAAACGATTTACCTTTTAGATTCTCCAAACAGGTGCTGGAAGACTCACTGCTTTTTCTCCTAACTAGAGACCATGCATGTTTCAAATTGCGAAAAAACGCGGTGTTGATCTAAAAAAGGCAAAATATTTGAAATCGTTTTTGAAAACGTGACACTCGAGGTACGTTTTCGCCCGAATCTTGATCGAGTGTCGCATTTTCAAAAACGATCTCAAATATTTTGCCTTTTTTAGATCAACACCGCGTTTCAACACGAGAAAAATCACCCGTTTTAACACAACATACATCACTATCCCACATTTTCACGCAGCTTTTTCTTTTGACTCATACTTAAGCTCTCGAAGATCGGTGCGACAAAGCCGCTAAGACACATGTCCTGGGAAGGTTAGCGACCCCCTCCTCTGTAGCAGTTTCCGACGCTGATTCCGAATCTAATCTCAAATTAAACTTTAGAGTGAAAGGTAACAAATGCGCCCTATTTTTTGAATCGTTCCGCGCTTTTACGTGATCAAAAATGAAAGTTACGTAAAAAGGTTACGCGTGAAAAGGCGGTTCAAGATTCCAAAACGCGAAACCGACGTTTCTCACGAATCTCGAGTTGCTACCCCTAACAGTTCCCCCGAAACGCAAACAACCGTAAAACGTTTTGGTCGAAAACGCCATGCTTTTGCTATTGAAAACAGAAAGGCGGTGTCACGTGTACAAGAAGTCGACTCGCGTGAAAATTTTCGAGAAAAAATGGCGTGCTTTGCGTTTTTGAATGTCAAAACGCGCTTTTTTCAAAAGAATCTAAGAAAAACGCGTTTTTTCTGACTTTGGAAGTTGGTCCATGACTTAAAACAAAACATTTTGATCTAAAAATGCGAGTCTTCATAGTTAATCGGGAGTTTTCCGTGTGAAAGTGCACAAATTCGCGTTTAAACGCGTGTCAGTTTACGAAATCGCGAAGAAAAAAGACGGTTTTTCGTGATCCTGTTGGTTCGCAGTATTTTCGCCGTTTCGACCTCAAAAAAACTCAAACTTTTTTCAAACATTCTGTACATGGTTGAATTCGGCACGTGGAGAGCTGCGTCTATCTCTGTTAATAAAAATCGAAAAAAAAAATTTCCTTAACCATATTGATTTTTTAGACGGAACTTTTAGCAAAATACTATTCAAGAAAACCCGATTCCGCGATAGATGGATGAATGGCTCTAGATTCTCGATTTATGTAACTTACAATACACGTTGATCACTGCTGCTGCCGTCGCTGGGTGATTGAGGTGGTGAAATATGAATATGAAAATCTGAATTTATCAGCTGAGCAACATCCGTTCTTTGTGCTAGAATAATAAAGTTGTTCAAAAAGCTTTTTAATTGTTTTAAAAAAAGCAAGTCACAACAAGTAGCGTTCATCATTCTGATTCACTTATCCCTTGACTGGAAAGGAATAGCCAATATCAAATTATTTCTATAGAACAGAATAATTATCTTTCTTGCTCCATTACATTCTGAAGAACATTCCCAACAAGCAGCAGCAAGCAAGTACTACTTCAGTTCTGACCACCATCGTTGTTCTTGCAAGGCAAGAGATAAATGAGGCACATTCTCAATTCTTATTTCTAATCACTCTCTTATTATGTCTTGACGTGTCTGTTTGTCTGTCCGCTAATAACTTTTGTCTACACCCTAACACACAGGGGATAAGTCCCTGGTGCCGGAACTGACATGTGTCCATGTGTGTTTTAGTCTGTCTGTCTAACTTTATGAAAGTATGGGAAACTACTAAAAACTGGTGGGAAACTGAGGGACGTTATGGGAAACTGCAAGGGAACCGAAGAAAAGTGCAATCAAACAAAAGGAAGCTAGAGATTCTGAAGGGAAAAAACCGAAGCAGACTAGGAGAAATCGATGGGAAACGCCACAATTTACACAATACTTGTCTCACTACGCGCCTTCCGTGCTTGCTTCGACGCGCATTCTTCAACTGGACGAGCTTTCTTCTGACCGAAGCATTTTTTTCTTAATGATCACTTACCATAAGCTGGAGCTATTTCCGTTCCACACCTCACTGGCATGATGCTTCCGCTTGCTCAGGTAATTACTTAACCGGCATATCACTCTCCAAAGATCGACAGAGGTGTAAAAATATTTTTAAATTCAAGACGATGCTCACGCGTCCTTCGGTCGGCGTTCATATCCAGGTTAGCTGAGAAACGTTGTAAGCTTCTCTCATTTCACGGAAAAAGCGCACAATGCAAAATAAAGCTAGAACATTTTCCGGGCAGCCTCTGAAGAATCGAAGGGTGGCTGCAAGTATTTTCGATCTATTCGCCATAATAGACTATCTGTATTCTGTAATTTTCGTTATCTCTAGATGAATTCTTTGTGTTATGGAAATTCACTGATTTCCGATGACATCTATCTACGAACTACAGAGAAACCGAAACAAATAGATGTCTAACAGCCATTTCTCCATATTTTGCGCATGGACACAAACACATCGAGAACTATCTTGTAAGATCCGGACTAAAGCGAAGGGAATACCATTTTCATCCAAACAAGCTCAGATAAAAGTTTCGACCAACAGAATCGGTAGTGACTAATAAGTGTGACGGACGTGCATATATATAAATCAATGGGACGGACTTCTACGCATACAGACATATGAACACTTGTGGTGTGGACGATAGTCCTGTAGCGAGGACCGATCGAATATTGGTGTGAGCGTTATCTGTGATTCAGAGTCATGGAAGGTCTTTTCCAGGTATGAGGTCCTAAAGTTAGCGAACCGAGCGAGTGCGGATGAGCACTACCTGGAGTAGACATGCAGGGAATGATTAACATTATGATAAACTGTCAGGTTGAAAACCAGTGTTCCTTGGGACCGATGCTAGAACGGAAACTACCGTCAGCTGACCGGTTCCGAGCCTTCGGCGGAGAGTCAGCGAGCTAGCGAGTGTTACTAGTACTCATTTTCTGATTCTCCATGGTCGATTACCTATTGTATATCATTCTCGTCTAATCAGATTTCCGCTACTAATTTGTGGTGGTTGGTATCTAGTCTGCAGATATTCAAACATACATACATTTCCTTTACAGTCAAAAGAACTGTAATGGAGAAAAGGCTAGAATTTTACCTCGAATCATCTGGCTTTCTTCTGCCAATCGATTTCCTTCACGTGTACAGCCAGCTCCCTGAGGAAATAAACAATGTCTTACAGTGAAGTGAAGTCTCAAGTTGTTTCACTAGTCTCACGAGGGAACCTCTTGAGGTTATAAGTCGCTTTTGAACTCGGACTACTTGTATCTTCTAGACCTCAGTGAGTAGTGAACTACCCTAAGTTGGTTCATCCCCATGGTGCTTTGTTGCTGAGATATTGAATTTTTAGTCAGTTTTTGCCTATAGAGCTTGGATTTCGAGCAAAATCCGAC